ATGTGCGTTCCAATTTACCCCTCATCGCAATACTAATAACGTATCACAAAAACTCGCACTCTATCTACTCTACTATTCCTTTTCGCGGTGCCACAGTGATAATGCAACTCACCTACGAAATAATACATCTGATTGACAATTACGACGAAGATTCCAAAACGAACCTTAAGCTCTGAGTTGCGTAGAGCAGCCGTCTTGCGGAAGTGCGTGATACCAGATGAAAGATTCGTAAAGACTGAGTCAATCGAAAGAAGGTGAGCGTATGACGGCAGAAGATCGGACATAATCCGCAGTGACTTTTCGCTCAACGGCAATCGAGATATACAATAGGATAAACACTCTGCTAATCGTTCATCCTTCTTGCCATTCCTTTAATTTCATTGAAACAACTCACAAACCCTTAAACACCTATTTATACGTGAATAATTTAAATGTTTTCACGACAGTCTGCATTTAAATGAAGTTATTTGACTGCTCCGAGGCTGATGAACGGAATCGGCAAATGATCTTTACGTCATTCAGCTTCACACTTTAAATTAGCAAGGATGTGATATATCAGCATTAAAGTGTATTAATTACATGAAGTTAACTTACTGATCAATAGCAGTTTGCATTCGTTGACATAGTTTCTCAAGAAGACTGTCCGCTTGCTTATCTTTCTTAATAAACGACAGCAATAATCTAAATTACGATCAAACATTACGAGTCTAACCACGATTAGAAGTTCAAAGATTACATACCATTCTAAAGCCATTTTAAATCACTCCCACATACAGTCGCTGTATGACCACATCAATTTTTTGAAGTTTTGCAAGCATTAAAATGTATGTTTCGCTGAATACTCAATCGTCTTTTATGAATATGCTTGATCACGTTAATTATAAGAAAAATAAATTAAAGCAACAAACTTCATAATTTGTCCAAAATCATCGACACTAACTTCTTGATTTGATGAAAGTCTCGAAATCATATCTGGCATTAAATTGTATATCATATTCCCCTCAAAATGGAAGACGATAACACAAATATCTTTGTTATACAATGTGCAACAAATACACATCCTCTATTCACGAGGTGCACTCAAATTAAATGAGTGAACAGAAGACTTAATATATTCTGTTAATAATATATACGTCTTGAATCATCTATCATAGTGTTTATCACAACAAAAATCAACCGACGGTGGATTGTGAATGTTATGAAAAGAATCGAACCTTTTTGGAGAGTTCAGCAAAGAAGAACTTAGCCAAATTGGCGACATGCGCGTTGCTATCGAGCATACACCGCGCTAAATCCGCAACCGTACCTCGAACTTTGACCATGTCATTGAGAATTAAGTGTGATAATACAATTACGCACGTCTCACGCACATACGCATCTTTGTCACGGATTCTGCAATGTGTTCGATGAAATGCGCAATAAAATCATGATATTAATCACTGCAGGAAAGTGTATGACGAATAACGAACTTGAGAATACATGCGGAATGAATCTTTAAACAACAACAAAAAAAAAAAAAACAAAAAAAATACAAAAAAAATTTCGTGAAAGAGAATTCGAAATGAAACTATAAAACAAAACAGAAAAAGTCTCAAATCAAAACCGCAAACACCGTAAGAGTCACATACCTCTCATAGAGATAATAACTGTGTTTTTCGATAAGATTCGGAAAACGGAAACAAAGATCGCCAGCAGCCACCATCAAATTACTACGACATTCAGCACTTGGCGAATGCGTTAGATAATGAACGAAAATTGGCATCATCCGTGCGCATACGTGCATACTGGAAATTTACACAGAATTTTACTTTCAATTGTAATCGGTAATTGAATTTTTGAAGCAACTTTCAATCATAGAAAACAACGAACACTGAATGCAAGATTTGAAAGAATGAATGAAATATACTGAAAGTCCTCCCGCGAACTAAATGAATTCATCAGTATAAGGAAATAATCAACGAGAAATTCAATTTTAGGACGAGAAAAAATATCAGTCCAACTGAATAGAACGTCTCTTTCATATACCAATGGTCAGAGTGAATGGCAGATTGATTGATGTCATTCGAACGGTCAAAAATGAGACGAGTAAAAATGATAACAATGAATTCAAACGACAAACCTTAATAACATGACTTTCGATAGAGCAAGAGCGGCGACTGATTTGAGGCTTTCACTAGCAATTGCTTTCTTCGATTTGAGTATAAATAAAAGGAATGGTGTTAACCGACTCAACAAGCGTCCTCTTCGGAATACACTTACTTCACACATTCGATGTGCGCGTTGTGATATTCGTTCATCCTCAGATAAACCTCAAAAACCCACAGCATTGCACGTTTTGCATCGCCAATTCATCAACGGTACAACACAGCAACTAATCCTTCTAGTCCAAATCACCCGTTTGCTTCACGTTTTCGTTCAAAAGCTGTCACGAATATTCTCTAATTGACGAACTACCAACCTGTGAGCCCTAAACGATCCTCAGAATCTTGTTCAGTGGTCTCAAAGAAACCGATTCGTTCCATAGATTCTTTCTCGAGTTTGGTTGCCTCTCTTGCATCAGGCCATTCTTCAGCATCTCGAGGTTTTCCCTTCAGCGTCTGATCATCATTCGCTGTACACGCACGTCGCATTGCATGAATCAGTTCATTCTTTCGTTTCATTTCGGCCAAAAACGATATATCCACATGAATCAATGTTTTAAGTGCTACCTGAAACCCATCCATTCAATCGCTTCTTGATGAAGACTGTCAATTTTAATGCCCAACAGCACAACGAGATAAGTTCTTACCTGTCCTATGAATGCACAAACACGTTCAGCAATGGTCTCCCAAACTGTGAATCGATTTTCAGAATCCGTATTGAGAGCATCTTCTACAAGTCGTTGTGCTTTCTGAAGACTCTGTTCGTTCAATTCTTCCGGTTTATCATCAGTATCCATTCCATCAGAATCCTGTCCGTGTCGTTGATTTTCCTCTTCAGCATTCCATTCATCCAACCATTGGTCTTCAATCACCAATAAATTCTCCAAATCTTCTTCTAGATTCACTTCTTTATG